CTTATCCATATATATATATATATGTGTGTGTGTTTGTATATTAATGTGTATGTTGGACTCGATTCATAGTCATATATTTTGCTAATCAACCAACTTTCTTTAGCCTGTAGAGTTGTGGAAAGGGCGTATGAACGAGCTGTATATTCGCCAACATCTAATGCCGTTGCGCCTTACCAACCTAACATTTATACTCAGTAGATAATTTATCGCTTCGTTCTATACTCACATTTTCTTTCTCTTGCTGGTATGAGCCTGGCAGCTTTGGTCACAGAACAGCCCGCACTATCCTCGCTCATTCCGTCTTCAACTCTAACAAGTAAGTCTGTTTATTCCTTAGACTATCCAGAAAGCTCTGAAATTTAACATATTTTCTTAGATTTAGGGAGATACAATTGCCAGACATCATATTCTGCCTTCGATCCTATACCAACAGCCAGCAGTCAGAGAGAGTCGAAAATGGCTTCGCCAGATCAAATTCGCCCGCGAAGTGGACATGTTCATTGTGGAACCTTAGTCAATGATAATAAAGAAGATGAAGATCTTTGGAGAAACAGTGAAAGGGCTGCGACTCATCCTATAAATGTCGGGGACCGAACAAGCGGTCATGAAACCGGAATGTCTCATGATTACGCAACACGCCTCATAACTAATGCATCAGACCCTGGCTCTACTGATCGGTTTGATACGGATTTCAGTCCCTTCTCTCCAAGACCTGAGAAACGTCTCGTCCACACCTTACCTAGTGTTGCATCACCCTCGGATCACTGTGAGTCTGAGCATCGGCATCTTGGTCTAGAGTCATGTGGGCAACAGCACGTCTGTCAGCGTCATTGTCAAGCATGCAAACAAGCCTTAAGTCAATTCGGCAATTTCGAACGACTTAACCAGCCTGGCGATTGCCGATTATTGTTGACCGCACAGCAGAATCCCGATGAAATCTCGGGAAATGTCCATGAGTACATTTCGCAAGAACCGGTCTCAAGACCTAAAACTCAACCTAGGCAGCACCGCCCCAATCGAATTGCCGTCGACTTGCACCAACTACGTGCCAGTCTTAAATCACTAGATGAAAGCGGCTGGATGGCTCTAATTACAGCATTAATACATTCAGCAGATCCTGCAGGTGGAATTACGAGACGCCAACATCGTGGTCCGGTTGGTTCACAACATGGACTCCGTATCCACATGGCCCCGCATGATGGCGATTCTGACACACAGACACTTCGAATTGGTGCTAGAATGAGACGGCAGAAGCAGAAATCATCGAAACCAGTTGCTACACTTTCTTCAACTATGGAGCCAGTCGAATCTAACAGCGTGGTGCTGGATAGTCGAGGCGTGGCTGGTCGAACTACAGGAAGAGCAGGATTCATGAACATAGCCAAGGGCTGTGAACTAAGTGTTGAGCGTAGGCGGATATGCCCGGGCTACAGTCAAAATTGTGTTCGCGGTTCTAAGCCTCTGGAGGAGGTAGAAATACATGTGCCAACCAGAAAGCACAACACAGAAACTTTACAAAAATTTAGGGCAAAGACAAAACGAAACGAAAATGATGGGTGCATAGAAGAGCAAAAAAAAAATGCAGAAAGACCCGTCGACTGGATGGAAGAAATTGGCCGAACAGGGGCTCATAATGGAGCATGTAATCAACCAGAGCATGGCAAAGGTGACAGTCAATCTCGAGACTTTGTGCTTATTCACCAGCAGAGTGAAAATAACAAGGTTATATCACCCAGGCATTATGGTAGACAGAGCACACCCCTATCAGCTAAGAAGGCTTCTAGTGAGGAAGCAGAGGGAGAGCTTACTGAGAAGGGAAAAAATCATGAAGAGTCACAGGGTCCAAAGGGTTGTCAGCCATGCCCTGTTGGATTTCCACTTAGTGCCAGAGGCCTGCCAGCAATTAGCGGTGGAAATCAGATACAGAATGCGCCCCAGGCATTGAGTCAAGTTGAAGTAGCTGACACAATTTGTCGCAGAATGAAGTCATGTGTACTCCTGAAAGATGAGGTACCCTATCAAGGTCATCATGGTAATTCGCCCATTGCGGAAACAGCCGGGGCTAGCATAAAAACACACAAAGAAGGAGTTAATGTACGCCATATTCACTGGTCTCAGCCGGAGCAGCAAGGACAGTTAAGGGCGATTGAGCAGTTAACACAACGATGCGAACATCAACAGTGTCAGCATCTAGAGCAGACTCATCGATATATTCATCGTTATCATTGTCATCATAACCATACCCTCCCAAAAGAGCAAAAGCCACCACAGCCAGAAAAGAATCTTCAAGATAATCGACGAAGCCGCAGGGATCGCCACCCTCAAACTCATTGCGTTAATTATCACCATCACCATCATCGACTGCTAATAAAGCGACAGCAATCACAGAATGGGCGTTGCCCTCTGCATATCGAGGGTCTTGGGGACCGACAAGATCAGGCTTTACCTGAGGACAAGCTTTTCACAGCACTTCTCACATCTGCCAACCTTAATTAAGTTAACCTGCACAATGTACATCGATCTGTTGGATTTTCTGGAACATTTTATTTGCTCACATCGATTTTCACTTGCCTACATCTCCATACTCGCTTAAAACTCTCAATTTTATCACAGCGTAAATGTATTCAAATTTTTCTACTTTTCGAAGATCTCTAGACTACTCTATGTTTTGGCAGAACCAGCGGGCAAACAATGACGCATTAAAAGCTCCGATAGCTGACCTAAGTGATCAATAAACACTATTTCCACCAGACTGTTCTCTTAGCCACGTAATTGTCTCCTAAACGAAAAAAATTTCGAGAATTTTAGCATTGCGAGGAAATAGTCGGATTTACAAATCTACTTTATTTATTCATGGTTTAGTA